GAGGTTGAGTCACCATCCCTGGAAGTATTTAAAAGACGGGTAGATGAGGCGCTTAGGGACATGGTTTAGTGGGCATGGTGTTGTTGGGTTGACGGTTGGACTCGATGATCTTGGAGGTCTCTTCCAACCTTAATGATTCTATGATTCTATGATTCTATAAGGGGGAATGGCTTTAAACTAAAAGGGGGTAGATTGAGACTAGATATAAGGAAGAAATTTTTTACGCTGAGGGTGGTGAAACACTGGCACAGGTTGCCCAGAGAGGTGGTGGATGCCCCATCCCTGGAAACATTCAAGGTCAGGCTGGACGGGGCTCTGAGCAACCTGATCTAGTTGAAGATGTCCCTGCCCACGGCAGGAGGGTTGGACTAGATGACTTTTAGAGGTCCCTTCCAACCCAAACTATTCTATGATTCTATGATTCTATTAAAAAGGATTAAAATGCAATGACTGTGTTGATTGACTCTGAGCCAACCAACTCATGAAAATCCAAAATGATGTTATCAAAACGATGTCTTTTATTGGTATGACTACATACTGCAGTCCTTTCAGTTTTTTCCATTCTCATTCTGCACCGTTCAAGATTGTCTGCCTTTGTTCTCCACAGGAACATTAGTGTACAGCGGAAATATGCATTGAAAAAGTGGATTGTATCTAACCTAAAAGTAGTTCTGAAACATACTTCTTTGTTACAAAGCCTCCTGCCAGAATAATCTGGCTTGACTTCACTTCATTTAATAGTCAGTGCTGCAGATGAAAGCATGTCTGTTACCTCTTAGAAGGTTCAGTAGTTTACAAGTAGATTGAAGTTGCTCAGAAAGCATGTAAGAAATCATGGGCAATTCATCAGTGTTTTTCCAGATGTAAGTGTAACATAGAGAATAAGTTGTAAACTAGCATTTACTATCCTTAGTGAGAAGAATAAATTAGAGAACCACAAGTTATTTATCAATTTTATATTTCTCAGCATAAAATTTATGACAGAGAAGGACACTGCAGCCTTGTGGTACTCTCACTTGAACCCACACACTGTTCTCACCAATGCAAGATTTATTTCTTCTTTTCCTTTCTGAAAACTAATAATTTTAGAAATAAATGGAAATGTTTGTTTAGGGAGTTGATCCTAATTTGAGAAGTATCTTTATGATACTGCCAGTGAGACTTTGTATGTGCTGTGTATAGAAATGAATTTAAGTGATACTTTAGGGATGTTGTTATGTTCATCTATATGCATTACTACCAGAAAATATGTGTAAGGCTTTATATATTGTAAGCTTACTCACTTGGATACAGGGTGAAGCAGTAGCTCTGCAATTTCTCAGCCTAAAATGATGTAGCAGGAGTTCTGGTAGACAACTTTCTAGAGGAAAATAGAAACTCCTGGTGTTCCCTGTCAGTCTGAGCTGGAGATGTATACCATCCTCACACCAGATCCGATGATCAGTGTAACTGAATTCATATGAGACAAAATCTAGCACTTCGTATTTTAAGTCTAAGCTATCTCTGACTCCTGAAAGGCAGAAATTTCCTCCAAGCCGTCTTTCCCTGCCCCCTAGGAACTCACCTAGAGGCTCACCCCTAGGAACTGAGTAAGTTGGGCACCTCTCAGTTTCTGAATGTACGAACAGTTGTCTAGTGTTACAACCTTAAAGCTGTTTGTCTCTCTGTCTCTCTCCCATTGGCATTGAAATGGTCTCTTATACTGGACTTCAGGAAGATTTGTCATGTGAGAGGGGGGCTCTTGAATGGTCTTAGTATTTCATGCCAATGCCAGATGAAGGGGGGAATGTTTTGGGGAAGGCTTGTGAAGTTAAGGATTCATAAGGAATTTAGATAGAATGTGTTATGTTTCTTTAAGAATAAAAAAGCATTTCTTCCACCAACGTCATCATAAGATATCTTAAATATGTTTCTGGATAAATCAGTCAGGTACCATCATACAGGTGGGGAAGTTCTTCTTTTTCTTAATGCAATTATACTACTTTGGGTATAAAATAAACTGTCTTCCTCCATTTAGATTTTCTCTGAATTCCAGTAAGGGAATTTATACAGTCAGTATAATCATAGCATATTTTTCTAAACTGCTTTGGCAAAATCAAATTAGTAAATCACACTTCTGACTTACCTCCAATTTCATGGAGTTTGTCTTAACTCTT